TGTGTGTGTGTGTGTGTGTCTCATGTACGTATATTATGCGTACAATTTGCGAACCGAGTAATTATTCAACTTTCAGAATCAGAGTGCGTTTGGGGAGATGATATTAGTGCTATTTGTGTTATTCTATCGTTGTTTTAGCTAATGAATAATAAAGGTAGAAGACATAACAACGCTAATATATTAAACGTCTCCCCGATCGACGCATCCTGAACTCTAAGAAAGAAGTGTATACAAACATACAGAAAGAGATATCAGATTCTGATCACATGATTATGTCAAAGGTTGAGATAGAATTCCTAGAAGTAGAGAGTCTGGACATTCAGCGGAAGTGCTTTCAAAATGGCGACGAATACGTATGAGTACTCTAGGCTGTGTTCGCTTTTGCGATCACAACATTTTAAGCGTTGTTTCATCCTTGTTGTTTATTAAATATTAAACAAGGACAATTGATGCTCACAGCGCTGCAAGCGACAAAGCGATCGCAGCTATTGTGTGTGTGTGTATGTATGTGTTTGGTGGTTGCCGCGTCATGTAACATGGTTTTTTTATTAATACATTAATTTGTGATAAGTAATAACAATATATGATATCCCTAAATCAATATAAAAATTAAATACGTAATATTTTTGATCTATCTATAATGTGTCTATCTATAATTATTTGCAACGCTCTGAAAGTTTCCTAACCTTTTTAAGTAAAAGAAACAATAATGACACGATTCAACTTTCTACCTTTTTCATACAATGCGAAGAGAAAAAGAGAAAAGATGAACCGAAATGCAAGAAACGCGAAAAATTCAATTAAAAATAAAAAGCCTTATAGTTCACGTTATGTTTACTATAGATTTTTAATAGTGGCAGTGAATTTTAGAAAGCCAGTGTATATTACATTGCATCGTATGTATGTATATATAAAACTTTCACCAAAGATATATTTCTCAATTTTTTAGGAAATACACATACGTCATTACTTCTGTGATACCACTATAAATTCCGAGTACGATGTATTTCGATTCTAATTTTTCTCTCGTTCGCGCTGAGTAAGGTTCCATATTGGTGTTGCCATTGTGAGAACACCAAGTCACGTGCACCAATCACGCGAAATCCCGAATGTCCAGACTCTCTACTTCTAGGGACTCTATGTTGGGCGTTAGAGTTCCGCTCCATTGGGAGTCCCCTTTTAGTCAGTGGAAACCAATACGTGCTATCATGTAAAGATATTAGACATCTGATTTTAGTAAAGTTTTGTAGAGCTTCTGTAGAGCAAGATTTTGTGCTATTATTTGTGAAAATAATAAACGAGCTGCAATGTCGTTTCAAATTGATTTTATAAATTTTTCTGAGAAAATAATTCCAACATTAACGGCTGAATTGATCGGATATTTTAGTATTGATGGTGATATGCAATATCATGCCGATTTATCGCAACTGAAATATTATATTCCTCCTTCGGATCCTAACAATGTGAATTTCGATCTCAACAAAAATTTTATGTTTACTCGTCACAGACCTACTTCATACCTCAAATTGGATAAAGTTTTAAGATGGCTTTCTAATAATTTTCATCGACTTGAAAAACCAGTATTAGTACAAGAAGAACGTTGGTAAGTTGATAAATCATTGTCATTTTAAGCAATGTTGAATAGTAACTATAAGTTAAATGAATTAAAAATTAAGTAATAAAGTTAAAAAGTTAAAGACATTAAAAAATTTTAACTAGTGAACTTTTTCAAAGTTAAAATTTTTTAATCTTTGAATGTCAATATTTTTTAAATAAAATTTTAAACATTGACAATTAGAAAAAGTTTAATGATTGTAAAAGGCGTGATGCCTTGCTAGTGACACGGAAACTTGTCCTTTAATTGAAGGAAAAAGATAATTGTTTATTTAAAAGTCTGTTTCGTTAATTAAAATTTTATTATGCATTATTTTAAATAATATGCAACACAGATATTCTCTCTCTGTAATAATAATTATTTTATTAATACCTATGTAATAATCAGTATTTTTATCTAAATTTCTTGTATACATAAATTTTTGTGTAATTTTTTTAACGATTATTCCTTTCATAATTAAAGAAAAAATACATTTCTATATATGTACAAATGCAGTGAAAGTAATACATATTTCTTTAGTATTTTATATACACTTATTTATACAAATAAAATATTAAATTTATTCGATTATTCTTTATTGTTATTATTTTTTGTTTAGAGTAATTAATTTAAAAAAAATTACATTTTAATTTAATATAAATAATAAATAATAAATTTTAATCGCTAATTAAAAACTATTATAGCTTCGACATTTCCGTATTAAAGGATTTTCTTCTTAGACCGTTCCAAAGAATCTTTGTTCTTAAAAGGACGGACGTTAATTGTGTAGAACACCCTGTATAGTTTGCAATAAATGAATAATTGATTAGACAGATAGCACTTTTTATGCATTAAAAAAATTATTTTTGCAATATATGTTAGCAGTATATTACTGAATAATCATTTTTACTCTAATTAGAAATAATATTAATTAGGTTGGATATTGATTTCATTGCTTCTCGTGGGACAATAAAAACAATACTATGTAGCCCATATAAAATGCGTGACGAATGGATTATTTGCGCCAGTAAATATCGTGGTACAATATATTTATGTGAGTTTTATTCAGATGAAAGAGAACATCATTATGCCAATGCATCAATGTCAGAAAGACAAATTCATTCATGGGGATATAAGTTTGAGCAGTACATGGTAGCAGGTATTTTATTTATATGAAAATTCTATTATGTATTGCTTTTACTTCAGATATATTTAACAAACAAAATGGATTGTGCTTGTTAAATTTATATAATTAATTAATGTATGGACTTTTTTAGATCATCCATCACATACACCAGATTTAAAACAACCTCTTAATGAGTGTGAACAATTTTACTGTATGTTTAAAGCAAACTTTGACAATCATTCGTTATTATACGGGGCAGAAATAGATGGTATTTCTTCACAACAGCCTATAACGGATACACTTGAAGGCAAAACTTTGGAATTAATCGAGTTGAAAACATTTCCACTACTTCTTAATGAAGATGGAAATATAAAAATTTCCTCCCTCAGAGTGATGGAGTGGTGGAGTCAGAGCTATTTGGTGCATATAAATAAAATTATATGTGGATTAAAAGAGAAAAATATAGTGAGAATGATAAAAGAATATTCAATGTGTGATTTACCAAAGCTTTCAGAGGTAAATAATTTTATTTAAAAAATTGTGCAACAACGGTGATCTAAGAATTTATTAATGTAAAATTATGCATTTATATTGCAGCCGTCTTGTGATATAAACAGGAGCAAAATATTCTGCAAGATATTTCTAGACAACGTCAAAAGAATTGTCATCAAAGATTATGATGAATGCATGTATAAATTTCACTGGACACCATTCAACAAAGATGTTGTAAATTATACTGAAGAAGCTTCTGATAACAAAAAATACTTTTTCTTGCAGTCATGGTTTGTTGATAAAGCAGAGAAATACAAAAGACGTTTTCAGTAAATCTGAAGACTAATAAAATATTTTTTATAAGATATTTTTCATTAAAAAAAAGCTACTGACCATATAAATATAAATGTAAGAAAAATGTTAAAGACAATGTGTAAATTTATCTTACACAATGTATCTTATATAGTATGTATTTTTTCCTTTAAATTTTTTAATTTTGTGCTTGAATTATAACTTTACTATATACTATTAATTACATAATATATGGAGTGCGGTCAAAGTCTCATTACAAACGCTTTGAAGCGTTTGATTTTGACTGATTTAGAAGAAAGTATTTTACGAATTGATCAAAAAATACTTCAAAGCATTTGTAATAATATTACGTTGCTTGTACTTGATAGTATATAGTAATATATATAATAATCCCAGGTAGAACACGGAGTCATAATTAAGTCGTAATGCAGGTATCACAGAACGTCATCATACGTCATTTGATATCTAAAAATTGACTTATAATTATAAGTGACGAATAAGGTCCTTGTGATTTCTGCAGTGTTCTATTTGGGATATATGATATACATATATCTTACTAATAGTGACTAATAAAATTTAAAAATATTTTGAAAGAAAGATATTATTTTATCTGAAATGATGACATTAGCTCTAAAATAGATGCGCAAGATAAAAGATATTTTGATTATAATTTTTAAATGTATAAAAAGCACAGCTGTTATATATTTTTTCATGCATATTTTTGAAATATTCGGTTTAACATAATCATCATTTCTCCTTTTGTTTAAAGCTATTAATTTCTTTGCGATTTACGATAATTTTGTTAGCTATATTTTTAAAGTAATTCATTATCTAAGACTTATTCGCGTCGCATGACTCCAATATGTGATGCAAACAAACCTATGTAATCTTCCTTTATGTCAAATTATGAAGAATTAATAATTATATTAAATTTATGTCAACAAAATAAAATCAGTTATATTACTTGATAATTTATTTAATCACCGATTAAATTAATTACAGTACATATTGTGAAATTAGTCGGAATTAATGGACTCCGGTCAGAATTATTCAATTATCTCCTAAACTTCTTAAGGGGATGCTGGAGTAACCAAATTATCACATTACAGTCGTATAAAAATCTTCGAATTGACTAAACGGAATAACAAATCCTTTTTATAGGATTAAAGTATAGATGCAAAATTATAAGCAAGTGGTGCAATATCGACCTTGTACTAAAATCGAAAAAAAGTTAAAAAATTTTTTAACAAAATCCACTGCACCACCTAATTTTGCGTCTATATTTAATCTTTTAAACGGATTTTTTATTCCGTTCAGTCAATTCGAAGATTTTTATACGACTGTAATGTGATAATTTGGTCACTCCAGCATCCCCAAGTACTGACAGAGAAACCTGAGAGTGGACATCCTGATCCCGGCTTTTTTCGCGTACCAAACCTCGTAGAATATGTCCATGTTTTTGTGATTCTTTTCGGAACGTAGCTATTGACTACCGACGCGATAGCCAATAAGCTTACAGCTCCTATCATGTTCATTGGCTACCGCGTCGCATTTTGCCGCGCGGTAAGCTTTTCCGCGTCCAGTGTGCAGGAGCCATAAGATGCAAGCGCTTGCATCTGATTGGTATATTCCGTTAGAACTAAAAATATAGACCAAACAGATACAAGAGCTCACTGAGCGCTCAGTGAGCGGTTGCAGTACTGAATGCACTTTTGGCTGCGTTCAGCAGACTCAACAGTTTTGCAACCGTTTTATGATTAGCTGCGTTCAGCAAAGAAAGCTGCTTTGCAACTGTTGTAAAATTCTTCAATATG